TCTGTATTATCGCAAGACATTCTTTACGGGAATAACAATTAAGTGTGTTCTTGTTTGCGTAGAATTCCAGAATTGTTAAAAATTATTTCTATTCGTTGTAGGCTTTCTTTAATAATAGAGTATCACACAAGTTGGTTTTAAGTACGAAGAAAACGGTTGACAAACACACATATATATATATAAACATTTCTCTTTGTTTATCGATACAAAAAGCAATCGAAAAATACTTTTTTTTTTACTCTACATTCATGATGTCAGAAAAACACGTAGGTTCAAGAAGTCTTAATATAAAATGATAAAACCCTATAACCCAAGTGCTTTCGAAAGGTAGGCCTTTCTTCTACATTCAAACCTGAGTTTTCCAAACGGATAATCGTCTACTGGGACTGTAGCTTTGCGCTAAAACAAATTAATATACCATTCAGTGATAACCATTCAGGGTTATTAATCGAGTTTCGATACCGTGTTCATATTTCAGATACGGCATGGCCTGGTGTTTAGGGTGATCGACTCGCAGCTTGCGGGTTCGAATACCATCACCGACTATGCTCGCCCTTTCAGCCGTAGGGACGTTATAATGTATGGACAATACCGCTTCTTGTTGGTAAAGAGTGGTCCGAAAGTTGGCGGTGGGTAATTTTGAATAGATGCCTTTCCTTAGTCTATCACTTCTAAATTAGGAGCGGCTAACGTAAATAGACTTCGAGTAACTTTACGCAATATTCAATAAAGATTTAGGTTCCAAAACATAGTTAAAATGAAACAGATATCTCTGATTAATAACTTATTTCCCTAGTTGATACATCAAACTCACAAAACATAATAATAAATTGGTATTTTATACAACTGGTAACATTTCGTTTTTCTTAACTTGAGCTATAACAAAGCTATCGATGTAATACAAAGTTTCACTTTCAGTATTACTTATTCCCCAACTGAAGGAATAGTGTGGATTTGATATTTTTTACTGAAAGTTGCTACTTTACCTTATGTATAGGCAAGTCAAGAAATTTGCTTAAAAGATGCCTTCATCTCAATAACTCGCTAAGGCAGTAAGTATTGTAAAACACTGGTGATTCTTAACCTATTCTGGAATTGTAATAGTGCCAGCACTGTATGTTTTGATCGGACACAAGGGAAAAGATTCTTTAACCCATCTTGGATAAACTGAAAAGAGACAACAAACTTGTATCTATGATGTAACAGTTAGTTTCTATATCCAAAATAGATAAGTTAATAATAGGTAGGGAAACAACGATTTAAAAGCATAAGTCAGAATTTTATTGATGGTGGAACATACTACATGTTTCGATAGAACATTGGTCTGTCTTCTACAGGTATTGCAATACAGTGAAACGCTTTTCTTTCTCTGTCTCTCTCTCTAAATTGTGTAAGCGTGATAATACTACTGAACGTAAACAAGTTTGTTTGAATTTATGCACAAAGCTACACAATGGGCTATCTGTGCTCTGCCCACCACGGGTATCGAAACCCGGTTTCTAGCGTTGTAAGTCCGCAGATATACCGCTGTGCTACTGGGAACCTATAAACAACTATGCAAGAGAGGAATAAAGATGGCGGTTGATGATAATGCCGTATTTTTCAACTTTGGTTGTCAAACTCTCTCTAAATGACGAAGAATGAATGGTTCCTTGCTGTTTAACGGCGCTGTAAAGACCACAACAAATATTTTACATATCACAGAATCAGATCTTAAATAATTTTCTTTTTAAAGAATAAATAATAACGAATATTTTACATGCCACAGAATCAGATCTTAAATAATTTTCTTTTTTAAGAATAAATAATAACGAATATTTTACATGCCACAGAATCAGATCTTAAATAATTTTCTTTTTTAAGAATAAATAATAACGAATATTTTACATATCACAGAATCAGATCTTAAGTAATTTTCTTTTTTAAGAATAAATAATAACGACATTTTTTGGCACAATGAAAGATAAACTTCATTACTCGTTTCAACCGACAAGATTCTGTAACGCATCATCAGGCCTTATGTTAACAAAATTAGTCGTTTCAAACAAGTAATTATAGTGTGTTTGAAATACTTTTGATTTACAGTCTTTTGATCCTTGAAAATTCCAAAAAGACTAGATTAAGAATGTAGTGTTAAAAATATAATAGATATATTAATAGGCCTAATACTAATGTTTATGACAAGTATGATTGTAATCGTTCTTCGCTGGCTTATGAAAGGCATAAACACCATAACAATTGTTGTTGTATCAAACTGGCAAAGCGGTATGTCTGCGGACTTATAACGCTAGAAACCGGGTTTCGATATCCGTGGTGGGTAGAGCATAGATAGTCTATTGTGTAGCTTGGTGCTTAACTTCAAACAAACAAACAAAGCCTTTTAAATAGTGTTCCGACAAATACCGTGGTTTTTTTTTTGTGGTTGTTGTTGTTGTTGTTTATATTACAGCCGGCCTGGATTAAACGAAACACATCATTGACGAATATAATGAGATTGGAATACTATTGTTACGTGAAACTGCTGGCGCATGCGTGACTCAGTTTCTCGAATTATCAGGGAACTCCTCGAATGTTGGAGACGCCTCATTGTTAGTATATAAGCCTGACAAAGAAAAGCCAGGGGATGATGAATGTATGATAAAGCGAACAGTAGTCACGATGAGTTTTGGGTAATTTACGATTCTGTTTCGAACT